CCCCAAAACCCCAAAACCCCAAAACCCCAAACTCAGCCCAAAGCCTGACTTAATAAACTCTAAACTTTCAACTAGCCACTGATCTTGCTCTTTGGTTTAAACTTTTCCTCTGAACCTCCCCATTATCTGTCAGCACAGGTCCCTTGACTGGAGGAAGGACTGTACAGAGCTTGGTTTTGGTTAATTTCTGCAGGGAGAAATTTCTTGTGACTCTTTTGAGAAGAGGGTTGGAAGGTGGGTATTTTGAATGCCTGTTTGGGAGATTAAGGGGAGTTTGGGCAGGGTAGGAGAGGTTGGAGGCGTGGATGAGGGAGATGGGTGCAAGTAGGGGTGTTAGGGGGGGTTAGAGGTAACTTACGTTTTGATGTAGAGGTCATGGCATGGTTGGGACATTTTGTGCACTCTTTCTCAGATTTCAAGGTATGATTTTTCTCTTTTTATGCCCTTTGAAATAAAGTTATGTTGGTAATTAAAGTTTTTCAAATTTTGTTTTATTTAAAAATTTTGATATCTGGTTAAAAAGATTATAGCATTATAATACTTCTATCCAATGCCATACAAAGAAAAAATGGAGAGACTAAACACCTTATGCAATCAGCAACTCATTTCTATTTTGAAAATATTTCTTTCGAAATCTTGGCCACATCCAAAAATCAAAGAGAGAAATTTTCTAACATTTTAAGACTTTTCCCAAAATAATAAATTAACTTAGAATGTATGTTCTAGGTTAGACCAGACAAAAAATTTCTAAATTTTCGCAATGAGGCCAAAGATCTAAAGAATTTCTTAAGAAAATAACTTCTTCTGTTAAGAAACTTATCTGAATACCTTTGCTTTAGGCCTTATCATCCTTTGTGGCTTGCTTTGGTTGATGATTACAGATGGGGATTTAGAAGAAACCTCTCGTTTCGAACCAACTTGTGAAAGCCGACTGAACAAAGACTTTAGCTTCAGATTCTTGTTCTCTATAATAATTGGAGATTAGCAAATTTATCGATAGTGAATTGACGTAATATACAGAACTTTAATGGATTTTATTATCATTTCTTGTTTTCTCCTACTGAAAAGTTTTCTTACTTCTATCAATCTTGGTTTTAAGATCTTCAATTTCAGATTGCTTTAAAGGACTTGGACTTCCTTCATCTAGATATTTAAGAGATATTTTATACTTATCAACATTTTCTTTGTGTTTTTTACTCCCAGATGGTTTACATCAGCAAATTTGCTCTTGCCTGGAGAGATAGATTGAGAAGACTTCCGAGAACTTGTAAATGAGTCAACAGTAATCATGATAGACTCTAAAATATATCATTTAGCTTACTCCTATGGCCATCTAAAGCTGGCTTTGCTCTGCATTTTTTGTCATAATAATTAAATTTCCTGAAATTACTGTTAATTTGTCTTCAGCATCTCTTCACAATCGTTATTCTTTGAATCAACAAACAAGAATGGGAAGTTGGAGTTATTATCATCCTTACTCCAGATCGTTTTGATTCTGCCATTATTTACTGTGCAATACTAGGTCTGTAATTTTAGCCCAAAGATCACTAGGATCAAGAGCCTCTACATTAAGTTTAATTAAAGAATTATTATGGAAAGACATACTCTCGAAACTGACAGGAGCTTCAGCAAATATTTCATGATTTTCAAACAAGTCGTCCAAGTTGTATTTTAGCATTGATTTATTGACTCTTCCATTCTTATGAACTACTCCTTTCTGAAATTTACGCTTGCTATTTCTTGAAGGCAGTACATTAACCAAGTTATACTCTTTGCTAAAACCTCGCTGTATCTTCCTAAACTTAGAGCCTGCCGCTTTATTTCTTCTAAGAGGTTTGAAACTAGAGGCAGGGTTGTTCAGTTCATAAGTAGACATCTTGATTGTTGAAGTCTTTGAACTATTAGTAGAAGTGTCCATGATTGATTTGCCAATTTTCAATGTTATTCCAAAATCAGGGGTTTTGGGGTTTTGGGGTTTTGGGGTTTTGGGGTTTTGGGGTTTTGGGG